TTAGATGAATAGTGTAAGGTGATATATAATCTATGTAGTGGGTCTCAAAGAAATAAGTACATATAGAGAGGGTCTCAAAGAAATGTCTGCATACTTTGATAATGGATATTTATTTTAAGTGACATTCATGCTTTTATGGTGTTACTATAAGTCATCTAAAGATGAAAATATTTAGTTATTTGCAATCATATATTCCTTCAAAGACTTTAATAACTGCTATGTGCCGATCTCTAGGCACTTAGGCTGTATCAATTAACAAAATAAAGTTTCCTGCTATCAAGGAACACATATTCTAGCTGGGGAGTGAGGGGAATGGCAGAGAGAGATGAACGGAAAACAAGGAGCGTTCCATATTAATAAATTCTATTATGCTGGAAAGTGATGAGCAGGATAGGTAGATTCAGGGTTGTCTGATGGATTGCCATTTTAAATAGGGTGGTCACAGGGCAGGTTTCATTGAGGAGGTTAATTCTGAGCCAAGACTTGAAGAAGCTGAGATTGACCATGTGAATTATCAGTGAAAGATTGTTTCAGGCAGAGAGAGCAGTTGAAGCAAAGGCCCAAATTGGAGTAAGAAGGCCATGGAGCTAGAGTGGAGTTGACGTGTCAATGACATCAGAGAGGTAGGGATCCCAGGGATTTTGCAAGACATTGTCTTTTTCTCTGAGTGATGATCTAATATTATATCAGCATCTGGCTGCCATGTTGAGAATAGATTGTTAGGAGTCGGAAGCAGAGGCAGGGGACCCTGTTAGTAACCTATTTCCTCAATGCAGACATAAAGTAACTTGGCACAGACTATTTCCACTTATTTCTGAGGCTAATGACATTTTACAGAGAATAAATGTTATTTAACCACTCTGCATTTTTTCTTCCTCCTACCACATTTCAAGTAAGCAAATATATTATGTTCTCAATCTTACACTATGTTGTCACTCGTATTTCAAATGTAAAAATCCAATGTCTTTACATTTCAATAGAATTGCTAGGTTTTTCTTTACTACATAAAAAATCCTCTTACAAGGTTATGGGGCATCCACTCAATGGAATTAGGCAATTACAATGATTAATGGCTGTGAAGATTATATGGCAACATGAAACACCCTTACGATGGAATTTTCAGTGGGAAAAAAAAAACACACAACAACAAGAGGTGAAGTTGTTTATTTGTGTAATATGATTTAAAAAAAGATCCATCACCTCCGAATTGGTCCAGCCCTAACTTACTCTTGGACCTCATTTCTTATAATTTTCCCCTTTTCTGGATGTTCTATAGCCATTCTGACCTGGCTGATGTTTAAGCCTTACAAGTGTGCTGTCATTTTAGAGGCTTCACATAGGTTGTTCTCTCTGCCTGCAATGCTCGTCCTGCCTTGGCCCCCAGGTACCTTCCCAGCCTCCACCGGGACGGCCTTCTTTGGCTTTGACAGTGAAATAGCAAACCCTCTCCTTGGCACTTCCTATTCTCTTACTTGGGTCTGTTCTTTCCACTGTACTTACTTTATTTGTATATTTATTATCTCTCTCCTTCCAACTGGAAAGTAAATTTCACAAGGTCAACAGTTTGGTCTATTGTCTTCAGGTTTTGTTTTTGAACAGTACGCAACAGAGAGTATGTGCACCCACGAAATCTTGTTGAATTAAATACTCTTACAAAACCTCAAATTTTTATTTATTGCTAACTTGATTATTGATGGTAATTCACATTAAAGGCCCTCTGGGACAGTGGAGGGATTGCATGGAAGGTTATTGAAGGAGAAAGCTTATGACTATTTAAAGCACATCATTGAAAGAGTTTTGAGTTGAGTTGACTTGGCCTCTGTGTGTTGCTGTGTGGGAACCTTATGGCCCACTGCTAAGCCTTGGGTAAGCAGCAACCTAAAGGCTGAGGGGTAACTAGAGACAAGGAAACATTTCTCCTACTGAAATATAGACTCTGGAATCTGGAGTTGATGAGAAATGCCACTCACTGCCAAGGCAACTTCTAACCCTTGAAGGAGTGGTGGGGTAGATGGTATCAGAAAAGAGCAGAGCTCCCTGACCCATCCTAGGGACAAAGCCCTCCCCCCATTCCATGGTTTTCTAGGTCTGGGTACAGTGGGAAAAATCTGAACTGAAGAATGAGAGGACATCCAGATAGCAGTCAATGGAATAAATCAGTGCAGACCATTTGTCTTTATACTGAATTTGAAAATTCTAGCTTATAGAGCTCCGGCTTGGGAATTTTAGGCTGAACTTATAGTCCCTTGTAATACATAGTACAACAGTACTGTGTAGTGCTAAACTATTCAAATATTGCCATACAAATGCTAACTAGCTGCTGCCTGAGCCCATCCCCCAGCATCCCATCTCCCCAGGATCCAAAGCTCAAGAGGGAAGGGTGGGGCCTCTGGGGTCCTGCTCTGGCACTACAACTAGGATCTGTTCTGATTGACTGGAGCCTGGTATACAGCTTGCTAAATATTTTCTTGGTTTGAGAATGTGTACCCCAATGACCTGAAAATTTCTGAGTAGGTAGCAAGAGTAGTGTAATGCTTCCAAAGTGGGGTCCAAGGTGGAGGGTTCCAAGAACCTGGAGTCATGCATGCTCAGAAACCTCCTGATTTCATTGACCTCTTGTCCGCCAGGAGAACTTTATCAGTAACACTTATCCAGGGGAGCATCAGCATTCACAGAGGGATAGTTCAGGGGTCACACCTTGTCTGGACCACAAATCCCTTTGAGAGGCCAGTGAAATTCAGCCTTAGATCCTTCAAATTTGTACAGTTATTGAAACTAGCCTTAAATCTTTGGGACTGGGAAGTGTAGTAGGATCCAAAACAATGAGATCACTGCAAAGTAATACCTGGTGTTCAGAAAAATCAAGATGGGGGGAGGAATGGGGAGCTTTTTGAACCTTTTAGAATCATCAGGGAAAGCTTCTACAGAAAATCATAGGGATAATGAGATTCTGCAGTTAAATTATAAGCTTATCCTAGGCCTAGAAGAGGAAAGGTTATATTTCCTTCCTCCTTGTATGAAACCCAATCTCCCTCCTCATCTACCCCTGCAGAGCTGCGGGGCTTAAGGACATCGCAGTTAAGGAAGCCATAGACATTGAGATGTGGTTATAGACATTTTCCTATTCTACCCTTCGATCAGCCCCAAATATAAATAAACATTTATGATTTGGAAACTGGTCCTAATATTAAGCCCCATAGTCACTCTGGCACGGAGTACAAGGTGGCCGATGATAGCTCAGTTGCACATCTTACCCCCGAGAATGGAAAGAACTAGGACTCTGCAAGGTGGGATGCCCGTCTCTCCTCCTGACCTTTGAAATGGTGCACCTGGGCTATAAGTGCCACCACTTACTCTGCTGTCCTGTGGCAGTTACACGCACATGCCTGCCGTTCAGAGATCTGGAGTGTGCGTTGACATCTGTGTGTGTAAAGATAAACCGGCTTGTTTTGATGTTGGATATGATACAGGAGCCCTGCTGGCATGCTGTCAGAAAACTCCTGTTAAAACGAACCACCCACAGGATGCGGTCCAGCCCCCAGATCATTCACTAGTGGACCTGGTCAGGGTGTGATCTATTTTCAGTCTACGGTCATCTTTTTAATGTAGGAGCAGAAGCTTCAACTGAAATGGAGCCATGAAGCAAAATCAACAATTACTAAACAAATAGACAATTTTGAGAAGGTTGTTGTTGTTTTTTAAGTCTATTTTTTATTAAGGTAATTTTTTAAATGCTGTAAAATTTTGCATTTTAAGAGAGGGGAAAAAAATCAAAAGATGATTATTAACCTTGGGAGCATCGAGGAAGTAAAAAGTGAAGATGCTGTAGCTGACCTATTTGGGATAAATACAGGAAAATTTAACTCAGAACCTAAGAGTAGTTCAGTGTACCCAATATCTAGACACAGCCCTCAATACACAGTCAGGCGGCCTGAATCACCACACAGGGAGTGAGTGCACTGAGCAAGCCAGGGAGACACCATCAGTCCCTCCGCCTTAGTGGTAAAAGCCCCACCCACCCACCCACCCCAGTGCTGCTATTACCGCTAACTGGGGTTGGAAAGTGAGATGAACTTGCTTTGTCTTTCCAGTCAATGCCACCTGGTTTTCCAGACCGAGGCATTTGTCACTTTTCATTGGCCTAATAATGTTATGCATCAAGCTTTTCCTAGAGCCACTTGATCATTTTGATTGAGCCAGCGAGGTAGATTTGTCAGGGATTTGGGTGTTCTTAATAATTCATTGCATGGGTAAAGGACTTGCAAATTGTTGCCTGCCTCCTGGCTATGGACTCCTTAGCTAGGGGGACACTGATTCAAAAGTTAGATTGTCTTTTTTTTTTTTTTTTTTTACAAGAGTCCGACTGCCTGGGTTCAAGTCCCGGCTCTAAGAGTTTGTAGCTTTGCGACCTCTAGCAAGCTCTTGAACTTCGGTGACCCATATATGTGATGGGGATAGTAATTAGGTTATTACGGGGAGCATGTTAGATGATATGCAAAGCACTTAGAACAATGCCTGTTTGTAGGAAAGCACCTAATACATTTTGGTCCTTTTATAATGAAGCACTCTCCTTATTTTTCAAAGCCATTTTAGCCATACCAAATATGTACAAAAAAAAAAAAAAAAAAAAAAAAAGCCATTGACTCTAAAGTGTATTTAAACTCACTTATACCTATTCATTTAACCTGAAGATTTTGGATATTTGGTCTTTCTTCAAAAATGTTATGTGAAGGTGGAAGCCCCATTACTCGAATTAATAGATATCTCCATCGATGTGTATTGTGTTGATTCTTAATATTTGTTATATGCATGTGTGAAACTGAACCGTTTAAAAGCAAAATTTAGGCATTCCTGCCAAAAGGAAGTGAATTGAAAGGAAGAGAAGCAGAGCCTTTGCGAGGAGAAAATTGTCCTATCTCTCAGCCAGTGTCAGAATGTGGAAATGTTTACAAAATGCTCATTAAAAGAAAAAGGGATTGCAAGATAGAAACAAAATCTGGTGCACAAGTTTACACTAGTGAGATAAGAAAGGCTAGGCCCCTATAGGGTATTTTGTTATCCAATTACTGCAACCTGACTTTTGGGGGAAGCGGACGAATGGTAGGGGGAGGGAGAGAGAGAGGAAGAGTTTCCAAACTTGTCTCCAGTGACAGGAGACATTTACGCTCAGGGAGATAAAACTGCCACTTAGAGCCCAGGGGAGCTAAACCTTCCTGGGTTGGCCTGGGGGCTCGAGCAGAGTCATGGATTCCCTGGCCCTGCAGCTGTGCGCTCTCCTCTGCCTAGCGGCTCACTCTGCTTTTGGAAGCCCCATCATGAGCCTGGAGCAGTCGCCTCTGGAAGAAGACATGCCCCTCTTCGATGATGTCTTCTCAGAGCAAGATGGTGTTGACTTTGACACACTACTACAGAGCATGAAGAATGAGTTTCTCAAGACATTGAACCTCTCTGACATCCCTATGCAGGATTCAGCCAAGGTTGACCCACCAGAGTACATGTTGGAACTCTACAACAAATTTGCCATGGACCGCACCTCCATGCCATCTGCCAACATCATCAGGAGTTTCAAAAATGAAGGTAAGCTTACATTTTATCGATCATATTTGGTTTGGATCTTTTTCAAGAAGTGACAAGTAAATTTCTAATGCATGATAGAGCAAATAAGGGTGAATGCAGACATATAGACATACAAAACAATATGGCCTATATCATTTTAATGCTTATTTTCCAGATGGTATTGAAAGGTGCTAAAGAATATCTTTTAATTCAAAGTTATAAAGTGTCTACTATTTTGACATTATAATGGGATCTTGAAATTTTTTTTTTTAATTTTTGCAAGTAATACAAAAAGCTAATGTTGGCTGACTACTGTACCGCTGCTATTGGTCACTTTTCAGATAGGCCTCCATTTCCACTTGGCTTTTGATTGATTATAAAATGTGTCAACTTCTATTTTGATTGAAAATGATGAAAATAGTCACAAATCAGAAAGTTGTGTTTCACTCAAGCTTTGGACCAGTTTCCCTCTTGTGGTCTTATTTAAAAGATGCTCAAACAGGATGGAAACTTCTATTTTAGAGAGTCTTCCTACAGTTTTGTTGCATTTGGCGTGACACATATATCCTTGAGACACTGTTTATAGTTTCTAGGAAGTGTGCACAGACCAGTTAATGATCCAGCTTATATCTGTGTCTTTATGGAGGGTGAGGCACAAGCTTCACATATCAGTGGAAAGATGTGTTTTCTCCTCCCAGATCTTCAATCAGTAACTAAATCTAATGACCTAGGAAGTTAATCCTTTTGTTTATTGTGGTGTTAGTTGGCCCCTCCAAAAATCTAATATCTATGGTAAAAACTGTGGTCCAAAGAAACTAATTCTTTAATATTTACTAATTATGCTTTTATAGACACTAGCCAGGTGAAAAATAGGATTTAGATTGATTTTGGCCAGACTGTCTTAAAAGGAGAAAGGTGGTGTCAAAGAAATAGCTCAGGATTTGGGATTTTGAGAACAGGTTGATTATAATGAGTTTAATTTCTCTGAACCTCAATTTCCTCATCTGTATATTGGGGATACAATACAATTGAGCGATTCAAAAGAGATTCTGAGTAAGAAACATTCCATTTCCTATGAAGTGTTGAAGAAACAGTTATTCCTGATGAATTCCCTAAATTCTAGGCATTACAGAAAATGTTAAGTAGGTATTGCTTAGCCCTGGAGATACCATTTGCCTTAAAAATTTAGTTGACAGACAAAATTTTATAATATTTAGTAACATATTGGATATGGTATTTAGTAATATTTAGTAGCATAGTGGAAATGGCAAAACTGAGATTGCAGATTCCTGTGTAGATGAGTCTGAATTGCAAATGAACAGTCTTCTTCCATGGGAGTCCTTCCTTCCTAGTACTTCTGTGTACTGAACCCTCTGTGCCTGGCTCAGAGCCGCTCCCATCCTCCAGGGAAATTGGGATTTTTCAGCTTTCACTTCTCCCATGGAGGATGTGGATGATCCAGGTCAGGAAGCAAAATTACAGAGTTTCTCATCAGCAAGGGTAGGGTCCTCACTCCATGGACAACCCAGCCGCCTGCAGCTCCGCCAGTCTGTGGGTGGGAATACGAAGTCCCCAGGACAGGAATGCTTCACTGGGCTAGCCCTGCTGACTGCTATTGTCTCTCTTTGACTCTTTGGGTCTGTGCAGTGCAGCTTTCAGGAGACAGATCAACAAAACAGAACAAATCCCCCAATCCCTCCAAATCTAACTAATCAAGGGGAAACAATTGCCACCTCGAAGGTGGAAAAAGCATGACCAATACTCCTATCAAAGCTCTAACTTTATCTTGTCATCTGGGGGAAGTCAGTTCTCTTCTCTGAGGCACAATTTCTTCTGGTGTAAAATGCACAGAGCAGCAATGCCTGCATTGGAAGGACATTGGAAGAGCTAAATAAAATGATGTTTACAGAGCACCTGGCACATAAAATTTGCTTAGAAATGTAACTCCTCCACCTATTACCTACTATATTTGCAAATGCACAGTGAATGTATTTTTAAACAGCTATTTTGCACGAAATTCGTGCAAGGGCCTTGGTCCTGGCCCCCGCCTGTCTCCACTTCCTGGGCCAGGGCCTCTGTTGCCTCTGCCAAGACCCTCGCCCACTGCAGCTTTGTTCAAAAGGAAGGATGTCTAGAAGGACATCCGGTCTAATTAGCATATTATGCTTTTATTATTATAGACAATTGACATACAATAAATTGCACTTATTTATAATGTATAATTTGATAGGCTTTGACATATGTAAACAGCCATTGAAACCATCACTACAATCATGATAGTGAACATATTCATGACCACCAAGTTTCCCAGTATTCCCTTATAATCCTTTCCTTTTACTAGAGTGAGCTTTTATTCTGCACTTTTCTCATGGGTCAAGCAACCAGTCCACTCCCCTATTTTTGGTCTTTACGTGTTCCCTGCCCAAGGTAAGCTATATCCTCCATTCTTATAAGGAGGGATAACTCCCAAGCTATCTGATGTATTAAGGACATATGTTACACTTATAAATCAATTTGGTCTGTTGCCTGGAATCATCAATTGGTCAATATGTTTAAAGTGCTGCCTCAAAGGTAATCTGGCAGATTAAAGGCATAGAAAGGAGTTTCAGATGTGATACTTGCCAGCATGGTAAGTCTAGTTGGGAAGATTCATTCATGGAAAGACAACAGAAATACAAGGTTGTTCATGACAAAAGTAAAAGGAGAGAAAGAGAGTGAGAAGTCAAGTGATTTAGAAGGGAGTGAACATCCAGACGGGAGATTAAAGAAAGGGAAGGTCCCACAGGGAGGAGTCACAGCTAGGTCTTTGGAAATAGGAGGTAGGGCTTTCCAAAGGTCAGAAGAACTTATTCCAAGGTGAAACATACAGTAAAGCAAAAGGGTGTTTTCACAAGTGATGAAGATATCAGTCTATTTTAAACAGGATTTACAATTTATTTCATCTTTCAACAAAAATCAATGGAACAATTGCAATGTTTCATGCACTGGAGAGGATGAATGGAAGTAAAGACTGGATCAAAGGTTAAGACCTGGTTATAGCTGTTTTGAGAGTCATATTAGGAAGTTGAAATGCATTCCATTGACCAATATTTTCTATTGGCAGTATATGAGATTTTAGTCAAATCTAGAGGGAGCTGCAAACATGTGACATAATTATACACTTTTATTATTATAATTAGAAAAATCCACATATCACCTCAAACCCCTCATTTCATAACTGCTATGGCTTAAGAAAAGTCTAAATGAGGTTGAAAGTATAAAATAATCAGATCAAGTTATCATTTGGTGGTGCTTATCATTGTCAGTGTCATGGAACCCTTTGATTGATGACAAATGCCCTCAGAAATTCCTTTTAGATGTGTATTACCTGAGTCAAAAGTATAGGTGCTTTGGACTCCTATAAAATTCTTAGAAAGTCAACATGATGATATTTGAAGGTGTGTTTCTAAGATGAAAGGACCTTTTAAATGTTATTTTATAAATATTCTTGAATGATTTGTATGTGCCAAACTCCATGCCAGGTGCTATGGGTATAAGACTAAGTTAACCAATTTATCCCCAAGGTTCATTTTCCTATTTATTTTTGTCAAGAACTGCATACCCCAAATCAACTGCTGTGATCCTCCTGGTATATAGCTATCTTCTTGACGTTGTCAGGCTTTGGTGTCTAAAACAGGGATCTGCAAACTTTTTCTTATCAAGGGCCATACAAATAGTACATATTTTAGGTTTTATGAAATACTAGAGGCCCAGTGCACAAATTCGTGTACCAGTGGGGTACCTCAGTCTGACCTGCGGGATCAGGCCAAAACCCGCTCTCTAACATCCTCTAAGGGAGTCCTGGATTATGAGAGAGTCCAGGTCAGGCCAAAGGACCCCACTGGTGCACAATTGGAGCCAGAAGGGATCTGGGAGGTTGGCCAGCTGGGAAGGAACTACGGGAGGGTTCCAGGGTGTGTCTGGTCCATCTCATTCAGTCCCAATTGACCAGACCTCAGCAGCAAGCTAACCTACTGGTTGGAGCATCTGCCCTTGGTGGTCAGTGCACATCAGAGTGAGTGGTTGAGTGAACTTACCATATCATTAGCATATTACACTTTGATTGGTTGAACAGCTGACCAAACAACTGGACACTTAGCATATTAGGCTTTTATTATATAGGATTTTTCTTGGGACTATTTAGCTGTGTGGTTGTAGTGCAATCATCATCACAGATAATAAAGAAGGAATGGGTGAGGCTGTGTTCCAATAAAACTTTATTTTCAAGACTGATGACCCCCTGGTATAGGTGGAGGTCTTTAGGAAGAACAGTGCCCAGCCAGCTATGTGGGAATCTTCACCCATTACAAATGCAAATATGACCAACCACGAGGCCCTCTGAAAAAAAGTCAGGAAAAGACAAATTGCCCTGGTGAGGTGGAGCATGGTCCTGATACACCAAGGTTGAGGGTTCAATCCCTGATCAGAGCACATACAAGAGCCCACCAATAAATACATAAATAAGTGGAACACAAATTGAAGTCTATATCTCTCAAAATCAATCAATCAATAAGATTTTTTTTAAAGAAAAGAACAACCATCACATGTTTCACTTGCTAGCTCAGTGGTTCTCAAACTTCCTAATGCTGCGACCTTTTAATACAGTTCCTCCTGTTGTGGTGACACCCAACCATAAAATTATTTTTATTGCTACTTCATAACTGTAATTTTGCTACTGTTATGAATCATAATATAAATATCTATGTTTTCCATTGTCTTATGTGACTTCTGTGAAAGGGTCGTTTGACCCCCCAAAGGGGTTGTAACCCATAGGTTGAGAACCGCTGTGCTAGCTCTTCACTGGTAAGAAAAATTGGGGGCTTGCCCACACCATCTCTAAGGTCCTTCCAGTGCTATAATTCTGTGGCTGACAAGCTAGCAAGACTGGGTGAGTTTTTCACCATTTATTAGGCTGCCATTTTCCAGTTTAGTCTTGGCAGCTTAACTCAGTTTAACATTCTACCTTTGACATTTCAGTGTTCTCTGTGTCAGAGAATGCTAACATTGTGTTTGTTTTCATTTATATCCCCTTATTCTCTCTGTTTCAAATTTCCTTCATAGAAAAGCCTTCTTATGACATCAATAAGTGTCTGTTTTTCTCTGTGACATACTGCAAATGCCACTTTTTTCTTTCTTTTTTTTTTTTAGAGTTGTTTTCCCAACCAGCCAGTTTTAATGGGCTCAGAAAATACCCTCTCCTCTTCAATGTGTCCATCCCCCACCATGAAGAGGTCATCATGGCTGAACTTAGGTTGTACACACTGGTGCAAAGAGATCGCATGATATATGATGGAGTGGACCGGAAAATTACCATTTTTGAAGTACTTGAGAGCACAGAGGACAATGAAGGTGAAAGAAACATGTTGATCTTGGTGTCAGAGGAGATCTCTGGAACCAACAGCGAGTGGGAGACTTTCGACATCACCAGTGCCATCAGACGTTGGCAAAAGTCAGGTTCATCCACCCACCAGCTGGAAGTCCACATTGAGAGCAGACACGATGAAATTGAGGACACTGTCAGGGGACAGCTGGAAATAGACATTAGCGCCCAGAATAAGCATGACCCTTTGATTGTCGTGTTTTCTGATGACCAAAGCAGTGAGAAGGAACAGAAAGAGGAACTGAGTGACATGATCACCCATGAACAACTTCTGAATCTGGACAACCAGGGTCTGGATGGTTATTCCAGCGGTCCTGGGGAGGAGGCTCTGCTGCAGATGAGATCAAACATCATCTATGACTCCACTGCCCGCATCAGAAGGAATGCCAAAGGAAACTACTGCAAGAGGACCCCGCTCTACATCGACTTCAAGGAGATTGGCTGGGACTCTTGGATCATTGCCCCGCCTGGATATGAAGCCTATGAGTGTCGTGGTGTTTGCAACTACCCCCTGGCAGAGCATCTCACGCCCACAAAACATGCGATTATCCAGGCCTTGGTCCACCTCAAGAATTCCCAGAAGGCTGCCAAAGCCTGCTGTGTGCCAACCAAGCTGGAGCCCATCTCCATCCTCTATTTAGACAAAGGCGTTGTCACCTACAAGTTTAAATATGAAGGCATGGCTGTTTCTGAGTGTGGCTGCAGATAGGAGAGGATTTGTGTTGCTTATTTAATAACTGTATATGTGTATATTTTATGTTCCTATTTAATGAGATTATTTAATAAGGGTGTACAGATCATAGAGGTTTACTTAGGGAAATGGACAGGTTGGTTTGTTGTAAGAAATGCTTATTTTGTTATACGGTCTCAATTCCTTCTGATCTGTGTTTCTCTGGACTTACCATTTCCTGACAATGCCACCTCCAACAGCAAATGGCAAGACCATGCTATTTGTCTTCTATGTCAATTTGAAAACAACAATCCCTGAGCAGAAATAATTTGTCAAAAGATAGATTTATGTGTATGTATATGTGTACATATAAGCTTTAAATCTCTATTGGTTCTAAAGAAGTAGATTAGACTCACACACATGCAAAACTCAATCAAATGTGTATATATTAAAAACCAATGGTATGCTCTCAGTCACTTCTTCTCTGAGTAGGAGTTATGTCAAGATAATTTGCACCAGGGATTTAACCATCCTAGAGAATATTACATTTCCTAAATATTATTGGGAATGTGGGCGGGGCTTTCATCAGTTGAGTGTCTGCCATCACTCAGAGCAGCAGGGCCTGGTAAAGGATGTTGTATGTGTGAGGAGAGGGGTTATTTGATGCAGAAACCAAATGAGTTCAAGAGGTAGTGGCCTTAAGGTGCACTAGCAAAGAATAAACCCATTGTGGCACCCAAGTGCTGTAGAGAGCAGTGCCTGGTCAAGAAAGGAAAAAGTGGGTCTTCAGGGTGACATCTGCTTCTGAGATAATAAGAGAGCAAGGCCTATGTTGGCCTTTATTGCTACAGAAGGTAGATGAGGTGGGGGAGGGCACATAGGAGATGAGAGAAAAAGGATCTAGATGTTATCCTAGGATGTGTCTGTAAAATTATAAGCAGTTCTAATTGAAGAATTAAATCTTTTGGGCAAAATAAAATTTTCCAAGAACAAGAGGGAAAAAAACAGAAGGGATCTGTCTGTTGGTCTCTTCACTTCTTAACATTTTTCTTCATTCTTAATATTTCTCCCTTGCCTCTGCATCTCTGTGTTTGTTTCATCCACCTTTCTTTTCTCCCTCTTTCTTCTTTGCCCCAGAGCCTCGTGTCTTCCTCCCATTTTTCTGTCCCTTGTTTTCACTGCCTTCATTGCTCCAATGTGACCTGGAGGGACACCGGGAAGCATTTCCTTCAGGATGAGTGGAGTTACTGCTCTAATTCTAGTTTCCTCCCTGATGTTTAATTTGATTTGGTTTTATCAATATCCTTCATGGATTTTTTTTCATGAAGAATATTTAAGAATAAGGAAAAGAAAATGAGAGTCCAAATGGATTCACCTAAGTAAGTGAATTAATAAATAGACATACAAGCAAATTACTGAAAGCTAAGGCTGAATTTTGAAATCAGGTTTGCCCATGGTAGAACCCTTATAGCTTTCCCATTCTGGTCTTCCCATTTGGGAATTGGCCAGGACTAAGGACTGGGAAGTGTTCCTGACAGCAATGGTCTACTGGTTCTGCCAGCAGTTAGCCAATTGGAAGGACACTGAGACTCTGGTTGTGGTCTTACCCTCCCCATTCCCATGAGGGATCATGGGCTTTGTGCAGGAGGAACCAGAATAGTGCAGTTTTCAAGCTGTTCTGACACCTCCGGGTGGATGACACAGATGGTTCAAGCTAGAATCAGGAATGTGATTTCTAGTACATTGTCCCCACTCACCCCATTGAATGCTTCCTTAAGAAGTCTGGCATGTTTTATAACCTAGGAAACCATCAGCCTTCCTTTCACAAAACTCTTGGGTTTATAAACTCATATTACACTAGAAAATAGAGGCAAGGGAAGTGATTTTGAAAGACATTTTCCCCAATTTGGACCTCAGCTCTGTACATCCAGATGCATAGATTCTAAAGCAAATAGAGGGAAGATCTTGGGGGATTCATTGGCCTAAAAAAGTGGTTCTCTGACTATCAGCAAGTATACAGTGAGTGACAATTTGAGATGGTCATGCAATTCAGATTCATTCATTTATGGAATAACCTCCATATACAATGGTACATACTTTGTGTGTGTGTGTGTGTGTGTGTGTGTGTGTGTGTGTGAGTGTATGTATGTGTGGTGTATATAACTGGCTGTGGATAGCCACACTTAGACCCCTCAGTGGGATGTGGTACATCCTTTACACCCATGGTACACACTTTAAACTCATGTTCTCTACGGTACTTCTTATTCTTCTAATGGACACTGTCATAGACATACAGTAAAACCTCAGTTGAACAAGATAGTTCTAGTTAGAGAAAAATCAAGCAAAATTGTATGTCTAAAATACTTAAGACAGTGGTATGCTAGTAAATGCTTTCCTGGGGTGAATAAGCCCTGATTTGTGAATTTCAATGGTGTAAATACTCTCCTTGCCTATTTCAAGGCTCTAAAGCGATGTCAACTAGCTTCCAAAATTACTGAACTTAACAGCTGTTCTCAGGAGCCATGCCTGCTGGCTCTGGCACCTCACTCCTATCAGCACCCCGCTTGTGCCCTCTGCCGACTCGCCAGGTTCCTAGAGAAATCTTGTTGCGAGCACTTATAGTCACTCTTCTATTAAAGAGATATGAAAATCTAGGCTGTCTGCAACTGGCCAGCACATCCCAGCTGCTGCTTCTTTTCCCATAGCCCAGACATAAATATGCATTTTCCTGATTTTCTTCTTCCGTATGGAAAGAGGTGCAGAAATCCACATATTGGTTATTGACATGTTGCTAGTGGCAGTTTTTTGTTTTTATTTTTGCTTTCTTCTCAGAAAATGAAAGGACATGACCCATAAACAAAGAGTCCTCCCAGCCCCCATCAGGCCTCACCAGCCTGCAGTCTCTGATGTTGCTACACTAATGTGAGGCCATAAAATTGTCAGAACCTTAGAGTTTTGTGCAAGTCAAGCTCACTAACATCTTCTCTGATCATAGACCTTGGCTCCATCCCACACCCTTCTTTTTTACAGGTTTATGGCCAAATTAACATCATTGAAGTTGACCAACCCAAATGACTCTTGAGGAGAAGGGTAACATAGTGACTTGGGCAGCCAACCACCAAAACATTCATGTAAAGGTTTCTAGGTGTCCTGCTATTTATTGATGGATATATTTATTTTTGTAATATAGTGTAGAATACCAAATATTTTATTTTTATGTTTGGATTCTTTCTTGGATAAAATAGTCTTCTGTGCTTTTCAAGTAGTGTCTTCCCCAGAGTATGGCTCCTTTACAACCTTTGGTCTGTATTTTTATCCCCTCTTTTCACATCAGAATTTCCTGTTGTTTTAGGGAGCCTTGCCATAAGCTTGCCATCATCTGGTATATTTGTGTCTCGTAGGCATTGCTGTGAGCCCCATGGCATAGTGACTGATGTGCAAATAGTACAGTTTTAACTATATGCTGTAGTTTGGACTAAAGTGTAGGTGTTCTAGAAAGCATTTACCCAATAAATTGTCATGTCATTTCATGAGTTGACATTGTCATTTTTCCATCAGAGCCAAATCTCGTCAGACTGTGAGGGACTCTGCTTGCTGTTCAGTATTTAATTGGCGCTTTTCATTCCCAAATGAGGTGCTTTTCTGCTGACCGCGTCCCTTGCTTTCAATGGCCCACCAATTCAAAGACCAGGTCGGATAAATCCCTTTGTAATTGGCTCAATTACTCTTTACATGGAAAAGAAGTTTGTGTGTGGATTCCCAAAAGAGTCAGCCTCAAAATGCCTAATTCTTTCCCTGTATATGATTTTTGGCCTGAGAAACAATGATATATACTGTTCCCAGAACTGTTGGTAATTATTTTGACATTTTTCAGAATCTAGATTCTTTAAGTAAAAGATATTCTCCGAGAAAGAGATTTTACATATTACTTCTTACCAGACTCCTCAACAGCCCACAGAGCCCAGCAGAGCTGGGTCAGAACTATGCACAATTTGTCTGTCGCACAGGATGGAAGGGACATATTAAGAATTGTGGATCTTCTCAGAATGTCACCAGGGGTTGTGCTTGGTCTTTGGGTGTCTGGTGAAAAGGAAACACTACTGTGACTCTGTGCATTTTCGTGGTCCCAACAGCCACATTTGACTTCACACATTAGATGGCAGGAAAGTAGAGAATGTTATGTAACAGCCACATGAAAGGGTGTTTCTGGGTGAGGAAATATCTCCATAGGATTATCACTTCATCAGGGAATGACTATGTGTTGTGATCAGCATGCTTCTGTGCATATAAGCACTTGTCCTGTGAGTTTCTGGCCTGATCCAGTGAGGTCTCCACGTGCTCATGCCCACCCTGCAAACTTCCACAAATTAGCTAATGCCACGATCACACTGAATCAACTGAAACCCAGTAATTTTCTTGTGTAAAACCTGTTTGCTATCCATGTCCAAATGTATGTAGAAATTGCTAGGCTAAACGGAAGATGGGAAGAAATAGTTTATACCATGTTCATAAATTAAATGTGTATATTCAGAGTTATCTTGTTAAATAAAATGAAAAAATTATTTTGATAATTATTTGAAACATTTTTACTTGAAATGAAATCTGTTTTGCTCTCCTTCCCTACTTTTTTTCTCTGTTTTCCATTTCACAGTATATCCAGATGGAATAAAATTTCTTGCTAGATTAGTAGACTATGCCCTAAAAATACAATAAATCTGATTTTCCCTTTTAAGTGATCTCATCGGAGAGTGAGATTCTGTTGTGATATGGTCTTCCACTTCGCACAACTGTCTGCAAAGCCCATGAACGCAAGACGTACATAGCAAATGAAAGCGTCTCCTCTTTGTCAATCACTGAGAAATACTACTTCTCTGAGTTTAGAACGAGTCAGACAAAAGAGCAATTACTTTGGGGGAAATTTCCAGGCTAATTTTCGCTGAAATTTGATTTTTGAATCTCTTAGAATCCCAGGCTTCGATAGAACTTTTAAGTGACCTGGTATGCTCCATTCCCTCCAGCAGCCCGGCAAAACCCCCTTTCCATCTTTTCTGCAAATAGAAGTGAAGGGAGTGCACTACCTC